TAATGTTTCCGCGATTTTCGCGACTGAAAGTTCAACTGTATTTACTGTACATAATTTCCGTATTCGTTCCATTCAGAAGGCAATTCTGTGAGTTTGCCAGAACCACCAGCACTAAATTGTCGGGTTAGTTGAAAATTTCAACCAAAAAATTGTCTGGTTGGTTGAATCAACCGTAACTATTCAAACCGACGTATCTGCTTTTGTAAACAATCACTTCAATCGATAATTTGTGGCAACTGCTAGCTCACTCAAGTGGACCCTACACGATTGCTTTTATTGACAATAACCGTATTGTCAATACATTCTATATTGACGTCAATACATCGGTATTGACAATATTTATGTCATCACATCATCAATTATTGTCAATAATTCCCCTTCGCGTCAATATATTGATACGTGTGGGGTTCGCTTCACAGAAACCAACAATACCAGCTAGTAGGAGAAAAATTCCCCTAGCCGATGAAGGTATTTGTTTGCGTGGGTGAGTTTGCAGTTAAGGCAAATCGTCTGTTAAAGTGATTGTTTACAAAAGCAGATACGTCGATTTGAATAGTTACGTATTTAATGTACTTTCAGCTTTAAGATGAAAGGGCTGTTATTTATTTATTTATTTGTCGTCAATCAGTGTAGACCGTTTTACAATTGTTGTCTTCAGTGCTATTTTTACAATTTTGTCTTTGTTTATATTTTTTATAATATGTCTTAAGAAAAAGTTAAAACATTACTTCTAGTTGACGTTATGCGACGAATTAAAATATTGCTTTAATTTAGTTTTTGTCATTGTAAAGTCAATGTTATCGCAGTGCTTATTATATGTATCCATCATTTGGTTCAAGGGTCCAAATTTGGCATAATTCGTACGATGACGATTTGTAGCAAATATATTTCTGTTTCGTAAATGCCTAGATGGTGTATATAAATTTAAGGATGACAATAGTTCTATTGAATCAATTCGATGTGATACGATATCGTTTACGAAAGAAATCATAGCAAATTCACGACGTTCTTTTAATGTTTGGATATTTATGAGCATACACCGAGCTGTGTATGATGGCAGAGGAAATACAGTCCAACCTAACTTGCGGAGTGCATACAATAGAAACTGCTTTTGAACGGACTCTATTCTTTCTTCGTGTGTGATTGAAAAAGGTGACCAAACTATGCTGCAATATTCTAATATCGATCTTACATAAGCAATGTACAATGTTTTTATCGTATACGGATCGTGAAAGTTATAGCAGAAACGTTTTATGAAACCAAGCATGTTGTTAGCTCTGTTAATAATTGTGTTATAATGATCGGTGAAAGTAAGTTTTGAGTCCAAAATAACACCTAGATCCCTGACTCTATCACATTTTTCTACGATCTGGTTTCCTAAAGTGACTGTTATATCGGGTAGCTTTTGTTTTCTACTAATGGTAATGGAGTTACATTTTTTTATATTTAATTGTAGCAGGCTTTTTTGACACCAAGTATGGAATATTTGAATTTCCTCTTTGAATGTGATGATGTCTTTGGCATCTTTTATTTCCAAAAAAAGTTTAATGTCGTCAGCATATATTAAAACTTTCAATTTCTTAATAATGAAAGATATGTCATTGACGAATAGAATAAATAAAAGTGGTCCTAAATGGGAGCCTTGAGGAACTCCTGAAGTGACATCAACGGGATTTGATATCTTTCCTTTGTATTTTACTATTTGATGACGGTCAGTTAAATATGATTCAAGCCACTTGAGGAGTGCGTAATGAATTCCCATTTTTTGAAGTTTAAAAAGAAGCATGGGTATGTCAATTCGATAAAACGCTTTGCTGAAATCTGTATACAACACTTCTACATGGTTTCCGTTATCCATTGCATTCAAGGAATAATTAATTAATTCGAGCAAATTCGTAGTTGTTGAACGGCCTTTAAAGAAGCCATGTTGCATAGTAGTTATTCTGTTTTTAATTTGAAGAAAGAGTTTTTCATTTACAATCGCCTCGAAAAGTTTCGAAATGCAAGAGATAATAGCTATACCACGATAATTACGTATGTCGGATTTTTTACCCGATTTAAAGATAGGCACTAAAAACGAATTTTTCCATATTTTGGGGAAGTTTCCGGATTCCAGTGACATATTGAAAATACAAAATAATGGAGCAGTAAGTTCAATTGCTAAAGTTTTCATAAAAACTGGCGGAACACCGTCAGGGCCAGGACCTTTAGATGCATCTAAATTGTTTAAACCCTTTAAGATATCATGAACCTTGATTTGACTTACGCTGATGTCACTTGAAAATTCTGGATATGATTCAAAATATTCACGGTCACGGTCCTCTTCTGAAAACGTAGTATATATTTCTTGGAAGAAATTTGCAAACAAATTGCATATATCATCCGAGTTCTCACCTATCGTATCGTCCAAATGCATCTTTGAGGGAAAATTATCAGATTTTAATTTGGTTTTCACATAATTGAAGAAGTTTCTAGGACAAGATTTTATTTCAAGTTCAGTTTTTAAATTATACTCCTCAAATGCCATATTCACGGCCAAATTTAACTGATCGCAAATGTCTAAATAGTATGCCAAAGTTTCTTCACTATTATATTTTTTATAAAATTTGTGCGCTTTTTGCTTTCGATTTTTTAAATTTTTCAGTTCTCTGTTGTACCAAACTGGATGTTTTGCATGACTCTGACGTCTTCTTCTTTTAGTTGGCACTTCTTCAAGAATTATTTCAAGCAACACATTGTAGAATACGTCAACTGCACATTCAACATTTCCTGCAGTTCTTAATATTGCTTGCCAATCGACAATGTTCAATCTATTTCTAATGTTATCATAATTTGCTGAATTGTAATCAAAGATTTCATCAAATTCGCAGTCGTTGGTTCTTTCATTTATGTGAACGAATAGAGAATACTCTATTGCTGTGTGAAACATTTCATTTCTCCATATGGGACTTAACGATTCAGAAATCTTCATAAGTATTTGTTTATAAAAGGTCTAAATAACAATTTTGTTGATTTTTCACATGGTTAATTTGATAGAGTCCTAAATTTGCAATTTTTTCAAAAATGAAATGGAGTGTTTCATTTTCCCCAACGACTGGAAGTAAGATGCTTTCATTGTCCATATCAGAAATAAAGTCAACATTGCGTTGGTTAAAGTCCCCATATATATGAACTTTTACTTCAGGGGGTAAACTAGACAAAATTTCTTCCGCTTTTCCAAAAAACTTATCATACGTGTCCTTATGAGCATTGTTTGGAGGAAAGTATACCGAAGCAAAGACATGTGTTTCGTCTGCTACCTGCGCTTTTACCCATACATGTTCGAATTCTTTATATTTAGTAGCCATAATAATTTCTGAATTCAATTTGGTCGAAATCGCTATTAATACTCCACCTCCCGATTTTTTTTCCAGACCATTGAAAATTGCGGTCGTCTCTATAAACGTTTTGGTTTTGAACGAAAACACTGCTTTAGATTTTCCAGCAATTATTGACGTCCCCTTTCACCTTCTGCAAAAAATAGATCATGTCTAGAGTAACATTTGAAATGGGCCTATGTCCAAAACGTAAACAAACCAGAAAATGAATTTTAAATGTTGACCGCCATTATTCAATTCATATTTAAGAAGATTGAAGTATTTTAGGCATTTATATTGTTCGCAATAACAATAGTAACTGTATCTCAGTATACAACATCCAAAATATGCGAAAAGCTTTCAAAATTATCACCCCTATTCTGTATTTCGTTTCGAACGAAATTCTCATACAAAAAAATATTTTTTTGTATGAGAATTTCGTTCGAAACGAAATACAGAATAGGGGTGTATATGAAAATCGATAACAATATAATTTCATAAATTAATAAGCCTTTTTTGTGATCTTTCAATGGATAGGCCCTTTTTGTAAAGCCGTTGTGCTTGTCATCATAAATGGTAGGCCCTTTGCTAAGCCTTTTCACAACGTCAAATAAATTCAAAACAAATCATCGGCCCTGCCTCAAGTAGTAGGGCCTAGCTTTGGTTTGAAATTTTTCAATCATCGGCCCTTCTACGTCACTAGGCTTATCAATGAAATGAAATAAATGAATGGTTGGCCGTTTTAGCGTGCGGTCCTATTAATGAATCGAAAAATTTCGTTGATCGGCCGTTTCGAATATCGAGTTATATTTAATGATTTTTCTCGATTATGCGGAACTTTCCTACACGATTAGTAGCTATCAAGCAGTGTTAAAGAATGGTATCAAAACCCGATTTGTTAACGTTTTGGACATAGGCTCATTTCAAATGTTACTCGAGATGTAGCGTTGCAACCGAAGATGATTTTTTACAAATGTCGACCAGAAGAAATTGTACCTAGTAATTTTTGTAACCGGGAAATAATTGGTATTTATACCCAAAAAATCGGGAAAACTGCAGGAATTTCAAAGAGAAAATTCAGTGGCCACCCTGAAGGTTGAAGCAACGGATCGCAAACTGGAGTTGAAATCTTTTCTTCTTTCCTTTATTTAACGTCGGTTTCTGTTCCGCAATCTAGTGCCAAACACCGACGGACATCGGTTGCCATCCATTGACGGCAATCGAATGTGCAGGAAGGCAGCTTCCACACCTGCGTAGGATATCGCACCCATTCAACACACATGGGCCGGGACCAACGGCTTAACTTCCCTTCCGAAGGAAGACGTGACCAGAGATTTTTATGCCATTGGGGTGAGAAAAGCAATCACGCTTACCACTACACCACCGGCGCCGGCTGGAGTTGAAATCATCGCTATCAAATTTGTTCAGGCCTTTAGCTTTGAGCGGCAGATGACACGATTGTGCCTGTTTCATAGCGGTCGTATGAGAAAACAGGAGAGATGTCAGTCTTCTTGATATGCATCCTTACGTTACATGGTGCCAATGAAGAAGAAAAATCTGAAATCCAACAATACAAGGCTAATCTCATGGTAACAGAAACTAATATACGCTCGGTAATTCTTTCAAAAAAAAAATACATTCTCCTTTCTTAATTGATTACGCCTATTTACAACATTTATTTTTTCATCCATCACATCAGCCTATAAAACACATTTCAACTGCATTTGTTTATTTCTCAATCCCGGTTCAACGTTTCGTAATTAGCATCCAAAACACGATGTATTGATATCTCAAACCAAGCATAGAATGAAAAAAAGTTATAGCTGAACACTTCAACGCATGATCGACCATCGTTTTACCGGTTTTGAATCGAATGTACAAAATCTATATGCTGGCGGGGCACAACAACACCCACCAGGAGGTGTCGATGCATAGCGTGTGGTTTTATCGGTGAATGAATAAGAACGGTTTACTCACTCGAAAGAAAATGGCAACTTCAATTATGTATTATTTGTGCACGGACTGCCCAGGTCCCGAATACTCTCACTTCGCTACTGTTGTTGTTGCTGCTGCTGCTGGGTTATTGATTACGATGTACTGTTGTTTGCTCTACTGGACTGTATGTTGTATATTTCGGAGTGGTAAGGACACTTTGATTATTTCGGTTACTCGGATTTGATATTTTGGACTGGGCGAAAGAGATGTATTATAAAAGCAAGTGCAAATTGGGGGAAACAAATATTTTGGAGTGCAGTGAAAACCTAGTTATCATAAATATATGGGTGATGAGTTTTGCTTTCCTTTTTGGTAAAAAAAGTCTTGTCTTCTCCTCTGCTTCTTTCAAGCATTCTCAGAGTCTTGTTAGCATGCTTGTTGGGCAATGGCTTTGGATTGGGGTTTCTGAATGGGCAGGAAGAGTTTGAATTCGGCCGGCAGTTCATCCTCGGAGTAGAGCCGGTCGGAGAAGTACACTCGCCGAATCCTGCAGTTAGCGTGGATTTGAACCCGCAGAGTTTCTACGTAGTTTGTCCCGTAGGCACGACGTGTGAAATCGGACAAGTTGAACTGAATCTGATTCCATCCTTCATCCAATCGCATAGGCATGGTACAGATGAATGGCTTTACTCGAGTAGTCGATTGGTAATTGCTGGCCCGAAAACGCCGTCTTACGTTTTTATCGTCCAGGACCTGGCAGGAAGAAACAGTGAAAAGCAGAAAATGAAAATAAGGAAACGGTGTTACGATTGAGGTTGCAGTAAAAGTAAACAGCACAATATGGCGACGACGGTAGGAATGTGGCCCAAGGAGAGGTGTCGATAAGCGCAGACAGACAGAATAGGGGCAATGTCTGTTTTAAAGTTTGCTTTTTTTTGCAAACCAGGAATGGCGTGGGTTATCCCGGCAACGCAGAAAACAAGTCAATACTGCGAAATGCGAGAAAAAATGGTGCAATGACAGAGGGTAAAGAACTGGATCAAGGGAAACGCATTTTCATTTTCGTATCATATAATTACCAATTATTTATTAGAATATTGCTACATAGTACAATACTTAGGAACGTGAAAGCTTATCAAAAGATTTCATTCTTCTCTTAATACCTAACACATTTGAGGAACGTACCGCTTGAAACGGTGGTCTTTTGTATAAATGGTAAACGGTAATTCTAAATTGACATCCGCGAAAAAGTTTGGACGAACTTTGAATTTCATTGACACACTGAACTAGTACGGTACGGGTTAGCATATTGGCTTGAACAAGTCCCGTACTGCAGCGTTTCGTAGGTCTTCTGGAGAGATAGTCAATCTGTAGTTGATCGGTTGGTTGCACTTGTAAACCTGCAAAAATGCAATCACGAATATAAGTTATCTATAAACGATTTCAATACATATGTGTCGGGAGCAGGAGTAAGAGGCATTTTCCAGAATCATACAAGTTTGGAGTTATAATTAATGGTGTTCTTACCGGTAGAATAATCAAAATGCCTTCGACTCCGGCCCGATTTCGTAGCCCTGATTTTAAAGATGAGTACTTACATGAATGAATATAATAAAGTAGCTCTCTGAAAGCATCGAAACGAGCTATACACTCCACGAAGACTTGTTCTTTGGGATCTTCCACATCTTCAAACAATTTATGGAATGTTACTTCCAATGTCAGTTTCTTATAGTTATTGATTTGTTCAAGACTCTCACTGGCAACTGAGAACCGGTGAGGCACTGGTTTCGTTAGGTTTATTAAATTATGAGCCATGGTAATATCACAGACCGGAATGTACAAATGTTCATTTACAAACATATTTATATTAAGTTGAATTTTCTACCTAAGCATGCAAAGGTACCTATGGGGTTCGGTAAAAATTGATGCAGTTCATTTTGTTTACCCGTATTGAGAAATGTTATAGTTACACTGAGGAAAATGTCAAATAATGACCCTCCCCTTGACTAGTTTTTGCACCTTTTTGCTGGTGGGCGGGCTAAATCTCATGCTTTTTAGTGGAGTGTTGGAGACGGTAGGTTTATGGCTGGCTCATGCCGCGTAGGATGGCGCCATGGGCAGGCAATGGGGATTACTAAACTTCCCCTCTCTGATAAACCACTGGATGAGAGAACCAAAGATCTAATGCTTCATTTTGATTTGGAATAAGTGTTTGAACTATGACTCGGGATTTCCACTGTGGTGTGGTTCTATTGTATTGTATTGTACCCATATGTATTTTTGTGGTGCGACATAGTGGAAACGTGAGAGCGTGTTCCAATTACCCTATACAATATACAATTTAAAGTTAGCTTGGAAACTAACTTCAAATGAAGCAAGTCACCTGGGACGAACAAAGATATAATTAATATATGCCAAGTCAGAAGTACTTGAAACACGTTAAATTTTAGTTTAAATGCATGGGTTATGATTGTGTTGGTAGATGAGAGATTTCAGTTATTTATTAAATAAGACTAAATAATCATCAAAGGAACTTCAATTAGATAATTCATTTTTCATTTTGCAGCGTTTGGTGGGGCAATGGGAGCGCAAGTCAATCCAAAGCCGAGGATCAAGGACGGGTAATGGCTGAATAGTCTATGCGGACCACTTTTTTTTTTTTAACCTTTATTATAGAGATTTTTAGCCATAGGCTAGTTCATCTCTTATGCAGACGACTTGAACGCCATGGGAAAAGGAAGGGATTGAAGAGGCCGGTTATTGGGAGGTTTTGAGGAAATGACACATAGTGATGCTAAATGTAAAGAAACCGAAAATCCATCTCCCACTGATTCATCTTTACACATATATACCAAATTGATATTTTAAAGCAATAATCAAAATAAACAGACAATACATGAAAAGGCTAATTGCCAGTTGCTTTAAAGGCTAGTTGCCTCCCTAAGCGGACCCTCCGCATCCTAGCTCTTCTGTTAATCCACTTAATGCTACTAGGCTGTCTAAATTTTCTTATTTAAGTTCGTTTGATGATTATGATATCTCTAGTCTAATTTAATAAATTATTGAAATCTTTTATCTACCTACCATGCTTTATTAAGTACCTGCACTTGTGAATGTAATCTAAAATTTAACGTGTTTCAAGTTGTTTTTGACTTTGACCTATATTTAATATATATTAGTTCGTCCCGGGTGACACCTTCATGTGACTAAAATGCTTCATTTTGAAGTTAGTTTCCTAGCTGATTTTTAAATTACATAGGGTATATGCTCCAACTATGCTCACACGCTTCCACTATGTCGCACCACAAAAATTCGTATGAGTATGTCACAATAGAAGCACGCCACAGTGGAAATCCCGAGCCATAGTTCAAACACTTATCCCAAATCAAAATGGAGCACATATAAGATTAGTTACAATACCATGTACAAAAATGGTGTTTAACATTGTTTCCTGAGTAATACTTCAATGAAAACAACAATGAAAGCTTGTCGCGCAAATATAAGGAGCACCGTTGGGCACTTTCTGAAATATTTCAATAGTATAATTCCCTTGCAAGCCCAAATAAATCTATCTGCGTAAAAATAAATAAAATAAGAGTGATTTGCGGCAAAACCCGCCAGTATCGCACCCACCGTCAGTGCCTATACGTAAGCGTACTACAACGCGGCTTTCAACTAAAGGAGTAACAAGTGTGATACTATCACTTCAGGCTAGAACTTTGGTTCTCATATGCAATGGTTCATCAGAGAGGGGAAGCTCAGTAATCCTCATCGCATGCTCATGACGCTATTCTGTCACGGCATGAGCCAACTATACCGGACCTAAACCAACCGTCTCCAACGCTCCACTATGAAGCATAAGATTAGGCCCGCCCACCAACGTCCAGGTTAAAAAACTAGCCAAGGGGAGGGATGAACTTCAATTAGATAATTCAGAAAGTTAATTAACATAAGAGATAGGACGCGGGGGGTCCGCTTTGGGAGGCAACTAGCCTGTAGAGTTGTATAATAAATCTTTCTATTTAGTATATTTGCTAATTACAGGCAATGTCAATAGCAGTCATATCTTCAATCAGGCACTTACGAATAAGTGAAGTTTTAGGAGAGGTATGTTAAATATGTTGATAGGTTTGAAATAAGAATTAGGATTGTTGTGCTTAAGCTTTCGGTAAGGTATGATGCGTCAACTAAACCCTTAAGAGCCAATTTTCAAAAATTAAAAATGATTGAGTGATTTATTGAAAGACACCTTCATTGAAACATTGCGTTGCGTTAGGAAACAGTATTCTTCTAGTGCTGTGACGAAGTCGTTATTATCGATAATATCGATATCGGTCATTGAAAATATCGATATCGGTTCAATATCGGATTTTGATTATCGATATCGGGTCCAATATCCGATAATAATTAAAAAATACACTTTAAAAGAACTCTGTTGCTTTCCGGCGTTTATTTTGCATTTTTTAAACCAGAAGCATCAACATTATGGAGAAAAATTATTTGATTAACTCTTTCAGGATCGAGACTACTTCGAGACTCACTCAAAATTCGCCCTGTTTTTGAAAACAAACTCTCTGATGGCACCGAGGTTGCAATCCTTGGAAAAAGCTTCAGTGCCACCTGGTATAAAAATAGAAATCTGCTCTGCTGCTGCTCCCAGTACCGAAAAATATCACACGTCATTGATTCGATTCCACTCCTCATGTACATGTCAATTTCCTTGCGAATGGAGTCTGGCGTTCGCATTGTTACCCTTCGGTTGTTGTAACGTTGAACCATGCCTTCGTGGTAACTCCATACCCCATTATCGGTAGGGATCTTCCTCGGCGGCTCCTCGCCAACAAAATCTTCTTCATCAGATCCTTCAACTTGAGGTAGGACCATGTGGATGATTATTTCCGTAGCAGTGTTGCGTTCATCAGCACTCTTGAAATTAACAAATTAACAATCGAGGATCCAGAAACATACTTGGTCCATAAAGAGGCGAGGCTCGGTAGCTTTCAAATCGGTATTGGATTTCTCTTAACAAGGATGCTTGGAGGTTTCTTCCAATCGATGATACTGGCTTCATAGCAGTGATGCAATTGTTCAGGCAGTTTATGATAGGCAGCACCCGACTTATTGTCGCATAATCTTGACCGCTCAAATCTTCAGTTACTTTATTAAGGGGCTGTAGTAGCCAGAAGACTTCCTTCAGATTTCTTTTTCCCTCCAATTTAACCATTTCTGAGAAGCGATCTTGGTCTGTATGAAGTTGTACAGCTCTAGAAACCGTTTAACCATGATAAACTCCGAGTTCCATCTGGTAGGCACAAATGAAGTAATTTTCAGAGGTGTTCTTTTAGCATCATCTTCAATCTGTAGCTTGTGCAGTTTATCTGTTGCGATTGTTGATCTCCGAAAAAAGGCAACTACCTTCTTTACTTTATCTATAAGTTCTGATAGAGTGTTTGTAGTTTCAATGGATTTTTTTCGCAACGAGATTAATTGCATGGGCTACACAGCCAATATATTTATCCTCAGAGAATGTATCCGCAACAGATTTTAACATATTAGACGCATGGTCTGTAACAATCATGCCCACGTGTTATTTGGGAATTGCCCAATGTTTAAGAGCTTCCTCAAAGCAAGTTGAAATGTATGCACTATTGTGCCGTTCATTCATAATCTTTCACAATCATGATCATGAATGCGATCGTTTCGTTAATTTCTCTGGTTTTCGGTCCATTATCTTGAATGTTAGAATTAATTTC